GATTGGGATTCAAAATATGAATGGGAGGGAGGAGGGTACAATTCAGTTCATAACACTTCGTAATATTCAATTATATGAATACTTCACAGTTTATCGATTTTTCTATTGATGGATACCTGAGGCTACTTCCTCTCTGGAGCTATTATGAATAAATCTGCCATGAACATTCATATACAGGTCTTTTGTGAACACTTATTTCTCTTGAGTAAATGCATAGGAGTAGAATTGCTGAGTCATGTTTAGTTTTCTAAAAACTGACAGACTTTTTTCCAAAACCAGTGTACCATTTTTATACTCCCACCATCCATATATAACAGTTTTGGTTGTTTTATATCCTTGTAAATATTTGAAATTATCAGCCTTTTAATTTTAGACATTTTGATGGGTGTGTACTAAATAACTTTTGACCAAAACCAAAAGAAACTAAAAAGCCAGTTCTAATTTTTTTTTATTTTTACAACGAACATATTTGCTTTTGTTGTAAAAATGGCAATTTAATTTTTTTTAACAAAGTGATAATCAAACACTATTAAAAGTTTTTCATTAAAAAACAGCATCACCTTTCCTGCTCTCATGGTAGGTCTTTCTTCAGAGGCAACTACCCTCTGCTTTAAGCTATTTTTCATACTTGCTAGTGTATAGTTTATACTGCTGTTTTTTGATTTATCAGCTCCTGACATGATCTATTAACTTCCTGAGATAGCATATGAGGACACAGCTCTCCCATCTACCCCTTATTCCCTCTCTGACTGCTAATTCTGCTAACACAATATCACATTTTGGTTAAAATGGTTGTCAATATCTCACAATTATGACCACAGAACTACTGTTCAGTGCTGGGGAGGGGGAGCTATAATCATTCCTCCTTTCTTGTACAACTCTTTGTTTTCATGGCATTAATAATTACCTCATTTCTTCATTTGCCTAGCTTGTTGTGTTCCTACTGTTAATTGTTTCCATATATTCCAATATCTTTCCCACATGTCCATGAATAATATTTTCCATATGCTCAAATAGATCACTCATTTTTCTTCCCTGGAGGACTCTATACTCCTATTCCACTCTGAATTGGTTATTTTCTTGTCTGTTGAGCAATTGAGATTTCCCTTCACTGTCCCTTCAACATTCTCCTGGATTAGTTTCCTTATTTGCTGAATCCCATATCTTCCTCTTTCTTGGTTTAGCCCTTTATTTTGCTGGAATACAGCCTTTGTATCTATGGATAGGAAATCAATTTTTTGAGACCTTAAATACCTGAAAATACCTTTATTTTACTCTTAACTTGACCCATAGTTTGGCTGGGTATAAAAGTTTAACTTGCAAATAAATTTTCCTCATAATTTTGAAGGCATTGTTCCATTAAGTCCTAGCATGCTATATTGCTATTGCAAGGTCCAACACAATTATTTTTCTGGACTCTTTGTATTTCATAAGTTATTGTTTTTCTTTTTGGAAATTTTTAGTCTTTTTTGTTTGCCCATGATCTGAAATTTCACAATGATGCTCCTCAGTGTGTATATTTTTCATATTCATTATATTGTATACATAGTGGGCTTTCAGTTTAGAGTTTCATATTCAGAAAAGTTTCCTTCATTCTGGAAAGTTTTTCTTGTGTTATTTCTTTGATCACTCCTTTCCCAATTATATAGTCCCTTTTTCTGTAACACCTTTTATTGGGATGTTGAATCTCTTGGGCTGACTCCCTATCTAATATTCTTACTATTTTTCATCTTTTTGGGAGATTTCCTTTGTCTTCAACCTTCCTCCTACATTTTTATTCCAGTTTTCTTATTTGTTTTCTTTTTTGTCTCGTGACTGAAATTCTTCCCTTATCTGTCTGAGAATATTAATTATAATTGTTTTGAACCTTTTATCTTTTTGTTGTTTATTTGCTTTCATGTTGGACACTTATCTTAACTGTCTATTCATATTAAAAAGAGAGACACTAAAAAGCTGATGGAATATTTTTGTGCATATGTGAGGCTTGTTGATTAGTGAACTTCATAGCAGGATAATAGGATAGCAAGCTATATTTACTATGCTCACCAAATGTCACTCTCTTGTGGCATTTCTCTTAGTCCATTTCATTTTTCCAGAAAAAATTCAGGCGGCTCCTGCATACAATATATAAGTCTGGCTCAAGACATTCAAAATAGGGACAGGAAAAGGAAGTGAGTCTCAACCTCTGTCCTATCTTCCCTGTGCCAGATTTCTTGGTCCTCTTGTTCTCTCCAGAGAATAAATCTCCTGTCTGCTGCCAGGAAAAGCAAGATGAGAGGAAGCAGTAATCAGATAGTTGCTTGGCTTCCTGGGCAGGAGATATAACCCAGTGGGAGATGGGAAGGAGCCTAATCATTCTATATATAAACTTTCAACGAATGTCCTTCTTTTAAACCCTTCACTCTCTGTAGTACCTTGTGTCTCCAACTACCAAACCCTTTCAGAGTCCAATAGGTCAAACATTCTCACTTACTGTTAGCTTCCACCTCTCCAGAAACCTTGGTGCTAGCTCTACCTTTCTGCTAAATCACTTCCATCCAAGGATGTTTCAACCATTTTCCATATTCCAAAATATTGTTGAAATCTCTCCACCACTATGTTCTCCCCTGATTTCATGGACCTTACAAATTTATACCTTTTTCAGTTGCCTTCATTTTTAGTTTAGTGGCATTTTTGAGGTTGATTTGCCATGTTTAACTAGAAGAATCATTCTTAAAGGATATAATTTTTGACACTTCAAGGAATTGAGAATATGCCTCAAATGCTTCACTTAAAGATTAATTTTTTCATATATATTTCTAAATATTTAAACTACATATTTAAGCTATGCTTTAAAAAATCACTAGATTTCATGTAAAGAAATGAAATTACTTATCAACTGTCAAAGACATATACTGATGAAATTGGTTTCCAGAAATGGTTAGCTAGTCTGGCCTGAGTCTCCTATATCTTTTTACCTAGTCTCTCTGAAGGTAAACATCAGTATTTGTAAGGCAGCTGTCTAAATTTAGGAATTTTTAATAAAATGGATTTTGTATTTCTTCATAAAGCCATCTCATCTCTGTGGAAATTGCCCCCATAAACTTAGCTTCTTCATTACTGCCCAGCCTCAACCACAAAAGGCAACTGCTCCCAGAAAACAGATAATATACTGTATTTCCTTTAGGATGATCTAAGAATTTGAACCTAACATTTTAACCTCATGCAGTATCTTAACTAAAACAGTTCATCAAGCATGTTTCTTTTTTCCTATGCATGATTCAGAATTAAGTTTTTATTTTTTCCTCCAGAATTGGACAGTCCATATCCCTATAACCAAGCTCATTTCCAGATTTAATTTATGTCATGTTAGAGTTAATTGGCTTTGTAAACCTAACATAAATACAACCTTGCATATTGAACATACTGTTAGAGAGAACCCTCGTTTGCTAAATAACAAAATGGAACAGGTTTCTACATCTGATTCCCAAAAACCGTGATACTGGTGACAAGATACTACAGTATGCCTTGAGGGATCTGCTAATCATATCCAGGCCCTTGCCTTATGAATATGAACTGAATGTTGGCCTGACCTGTAATTGGACTCTTATGACCATCTGGCAGCTTCTGTGACATATTAGTGGCCTTGGCCCAGTTTCTAATTGGCATGTACCAGCATCAAATTGGCATGTATCTTCATCCACAAGACAGCTTAACTTTCTAAATAAGAGAGGTCATAATATCTTTCTTTTCTTTAGCTATGATGCAATTGCTTTTGGCAGGTTTTTGTTTTAATTGAGAAGAAGCTAAAATTTCAAGAGTCACATGTTACTTTAATCCTGAACCTTTGAATCTGCTTTTCTACTAACTGAAACAGAGTCTAGAAACTGCTGGTCCTGTCCCCATGTCTTGAAGAAATTATGTAGATAGATGATAGATAGATAGATAGATAGATAGATAGATAGATAGATATCTACTGGCTTCAAGCCATGGGCATTCTTAATCTGTAGGCTGTCTACAAACTTTAAGAGAAAGCTTCATCTGTAATCATTTTAAACAGAGCCAGTAGAGCCAAGATTGTTTTAGATAGTAGCTTACCAGCTTAAACTGAGTACTTTCTAGTTGGGATGGAAACTTAATCCAGGAAAAACTCAGAATAAGTTTTCACTCATATTTTATATCTTACTTGGCAACTTGTTTGAAAATGTTGCATAAAAGAACCAGCACAGGAAACATTTTATATTCCTGCTTATGATTAATAAATATGGAATCTGAGGCATTTTATTTTATAAATCAAGGTCTTAATCCAAATCTCCTGTTTTTCTACATTAAATAAAAACCTTCAGGGTAAAAATAGCCCTAATCTATATAGGGTACTCAAGGGTCACGTCAACAGGCAAAATTGATTACTCAGAATGCCATTGTGCTGAGACTTTTGTCAGACCATCAGCAGAAACATTCATTTTGTAGTCACTATAGATAAGGCATTTGGTGCAGCTGGTTTTATAAAAACGTAAGTAAATATGTCCTATTTCAGTTTTTCAATGCTTATTGAAAGAGGAAAGGAATGAATAACAAAATAGTAAACCAATGACTTGGAAATACAGGCTCACACATTGCTAGCTCATGGAAAGTGCCAGTCACTCTAGTCAAAGACTTTCTTACCACATCTTAATTTTAATCACATCTATTTCTGCCTGTATTTTATAAACCTGGCCACTGTCTTCAATCTTTAATACCCTGCACTACCACTTCAAACACACATATACACTCACTCACACATTTTCACCTTTGTTCAAAGATTTTCCAGTCTCAAGTCATTGGCCATTTCTGATTTTCTCAAATTCCCTTAGCCCAGCCCCTGCCTAATAGCCTATTGGTCTTCCGGCATCACTGTCTGTATAATATTACCAAGATACTATGAAGAATACATGTATGGCCTAGGTACTTTGGGGTCCCTACCATTAGTTGACACCTCATCATGCTAAGATGAAAATTTCCTCATCTGTATCTCTTTACAGCCTAAAGAATGTTTCTTGATACAACCAAAGGAAACAAAAGAAGATGCCACCAAGACAAGGAGGAAAAGAAAGGTATTATTAATACTTTCTTACAATTTTCTTACAACCCAGGTGATTTACCTCACATTTCTATATACTGTACTTTGATGAGGCAATTGTTATAATTCCCACTTTAGAGACTGTAAGATTCAGTGAGGTTGGTGACTTTCCTAAGGTCACTCATATTAAGTGTTTCTGTTGAAGCTAAAAACAAATTCTTCTGATTCCTATTTCAGTCTTGTGGAGCACCAAACATCTTTGTTATCCACCTTTGTTTTCATCATTTTCATGGTTGTTAGAAGATAAACATGAATTTCTAAGTCTAGAAGAAGCCCAAAGCTGTCCTGCCCTCTGGCCCTTCTGGCTGTGCCCAAGGAAAGAAATTTACCAACTTTCTTTTCATATCCATTTCAGTTTTTTAAACCTTATATCTTAGAGTATTAATAAAAAGAAAATAATAACCAGATGACAGTAGTATAAGGCATTTCTGACCGTTATTTGGAACCATAATTTAAAGCAAAAGACTCCCCTTACATTTTAATATTTGCCTATGAGTGCATGGAAGACTTATTGCTCCTATACAGGCTTTCTTACAGCTCAGCCTTGGAGAAAGTGTGGTTAGCTTTGACCTTCCACCACAGTTGTGAAAAGAGCAGTGTAATTCGCTCTCTGCCAAGAAGGTCTACTGCTGAATTCAGAAGAGGAAATATGATTGGGATTAGAGGAAAAAAGATGGATTCAAACCAATTACTTAACAGCAAGCTTTTAGAAAGTTAAGAATATGTATGCATATGTTTTCGTTGCTCACAAATGGCCAAATAGAAAGATGGGAGATGCCAAATTGGCTGAGGTTTGGCAAGTCCTTAAAGAAATGACTTTAACTTCTCTTTGATAAGTTTGTACACTAATGGCCTTCAGGAGTGTTAAGTTCTTGGTGGCTCAAGGTCAAAACTCTAGCAAGATAGTTTTAGCCTTGGCTGAGGTCATGCTAAAATGTGCCTACTGATGACATATTTTTAAAAGTTAATTCATTTGACAGAACTTTTACCATTCTTGGCAGTGGTATAGAAATGAGGATATTGTGGAAGGAGTTGAACATGTGGGGGTGGGGAGTGGCTCTTTGTGGATCTTTGGTGAAACATTAGAAGGAAATGAGAAGGAAAGTTGATGATGAAAATTAACTGAACAGTGGTATGTTCCTAGTATGTTGCAGGCACTCAGTAAATGCTACACAAATGAATCCAAACCAGAATTGTTGCTGTAAGGTTATTCCTGTTCTGCTTTCCATGGGGCCACTTCAAGACTCTCTCCCAAGACTTGACAATCGAGAGTCTACAGTCCTCCTTTGCAGTGGGCTCCAATGCTCAGATTACTCCTGCAGGTTTTACCTTAATCCCAGAAAACCAAACTGAGACTCAGTGCCTTAAAAACCAGGTTTGGCAAAAAATTCTCAAAATTCTACTCTTGGGAATAAAAGTCATTGAAGGATTAAAGAGAGGTTCCCACAACAACAAGATTTCTTGGCTTTTAACAGAAAGGAATGCCCTATTATGGAGACTCCTACAGAAATTTCAGTTCTCCTGAAAGCCATTGACCAAGAGTTACAAAGAGACTTTTAGATCACCCATTCATTTTTCAAAGCAGTATTTGTATCCAAAAAGTATTTATTTACTAAGTTTTTTCAAGTGTATTTATTAGAACTCACATTCATACTCAGCTATCACCAAAATCTATAAGCAGTTTAAGTACCAGAGGATTCTTAGCTATTCTAAGCTAACATCATTCTAAAATCTATCTTCCTGAGGTTTTTTTCTTCCTTCTCGTGTTGCAGAAGAAAATTACTGATGTTCTTGCAAAATCAGAGCCAAAACCAGGGACCCCTGAAGACCTACAGAAGCTAATGAAGGACTATTACAGCAGCAGTCGCTCAGTGATTGAATTAGAAGAACTAAACCTACCAGGTACAGCCAGACTTGTTTGGCTTTTTTCCTCCTTTTTTTTTTTTTTCCCTTACTATTCTGAAGTTAATCATTTAACGGGACTCATTGTTATTGCTATCAACTTTCCTGATGCGGAGGAGCAAAGAGGGTTTATCTTTTCTCCACTATGTATGTTATAACTAGGTATCTCTGCCAGTGAATCAATGTATTTTCCACATGCTAATACTCCCTTCCTCAACCTCACAGTTTTAACTTTTGAATGATTTCTTTATTAAGATGCTAAATGGTATTTGTTCAATCCAAAGAAAGATTTGGGAGCACCTGCGTGGCTCAGTTGGTTAAGCATCTGCCTTCAGCTCAGGTCATGATACCAGGGTCCTGGGATCGAGCCCCACATCGGGCTCCCTGCTCAGTGGGGAGCCTGCTTCTCCCTCTCCCTCTCCCCCTGCTTGTGCTCTCTCGTGCTCTCTCCATCAACTAAATAAAAATAAAATCTTTAATTAAAAAAATAAATAAACAAGGTTTGTAATTGCTTTTTTTAAAAAAAGCTAATTGTTGAGTGTGCGTTTTTTTTAGCATTCTTGAAGGAGTAAGAATCCCTAGTTGAGGAAAGAAGTTAAAGTAAAGATAAAGCACACATTTAAAAGTATAGATATGAAACATTAGTTTACTCATCCTCTATAGACAAGAGCTTTAGCTTTTTTTTTTAAGATTTATCTATTTGAGAAAGAGAAGTGCACACGCACAAGTGGGGGGATGGGGAGAGGGAAAGAATCTCTAGCAAACTCTATGCTGAGAAGGGAGCCCAAAGGTCAGTCAGGGGCTCGATGCCAGGCCCAATCTCATGACCCATGAGATCATGACCTGAGCTGAAACCAAGAATTGGACACTCAACCAACTGAGCCACCCAGGTGCCCAAACTTTAGCTTTAATAAGCATCTTAGTTTTGTTGTCCTTATCACAGATTTCTAGTTACAGTTTTATTTTTATGGTAGTGTTTTGGGTCACAGGCCAGACTATTTCAAGCAAAGTATCTAAAGATAGGAATAAAATTCCACATTTTTAGCAAAGCCGACACCTCACCCCAAGTGATTCTTAAACCTACTATTGTTTGAGATCTACTGCCTTAGAATATTTATAATTAAGTTAAAAAGATATTGCAAAAGTCTTGTAACAACTGATTTTAATTAATTTTGAAAATTCTGATACATCCTGTAACTCTTTGGGGCAGAGATTAAAGAGATGTTGTTACAAAATCAAACCACACAAAGTTTGGGTACCACTCTTTCAGATGAGCTATTTATAGATTACTAGGAATACCTAATTACTGCTGTTGGAAAAAGTCAAGGGTAGCTTGATTTCCCTTTTCTGTTACAACTTTATGCTTTCTAGAGGCTTAAGGAGCTGAAAAACATCCCATTCCCTGAATTTTTATAATTCCTTTGTGATGTGCTTTAAAAAAACAAAACAAAAAAAGGACGTTGAGTTTGGAAACAGGAGTGCCCGTGTCTGTTTCTTTTCCAGAATTTAAGGAGTACATTTCCACATGAGTGAGATCTGGAGTTTTAGACTCACAAAGCCTAGACGGCTCCAACAGCAGTTAGAAACCACTCCTCTCCAGGCCTAGTTCCTTTGAGGAGAGCTCTGTCCTGACTGCTGTATCGCAGGAACAAAGTGTTACAACAAGCTTCTGTTCAAAGTTTAACTGAAGTTTGACTCAGTGGTTGCTTGGTCCTTCTGGTTCTTTGTTAGAGTACACCTTCAACTCAGGAAGGATTTGTGAGATAGTGGGATCACTGCTACTCTGGATACTTATGGAACATCATAAATTTTAATTTTCTAGCATTACAGAGATACAGAGGTCAGAAGAAACCTTTAAGAGTCTTTTGAGTTCTATAGTGAGTTTACATTATATAATTGCTCTGTTACAGTTCAGTTATCTTGTTAAACAAGAATGTATGGTCATGGCTTGGTTTAGGAAGAAAGGAAAATGTTAAAAATATGTTAAAAATATTTTATACACAAAAAGAACAGGTTTTCATTTTCAGTTAAGAAATTAGGCCATTCTGAGACACAGTGAATAAGGCATCATGAGAACGTTTAGTAGAAAAGACCCTAGTTTCCTACATATGAAAGGACAGAGAGGAACCACAGTAGGGCAGAGGAGGGACACACTGTGGGTTATCTGGAACAGGCAGAGGCAGGGGCATAAATATACAGTGAATATAGATAATGAAGTACTGTTCCTATTAGTTTGCTGAGTGTCTAACTTGGTTTTGATTTGAGGTTATTTGTGTCTGTAGGGCAGGAACATGTCTTTTCAATTAATATTGTTCACTTTACATTGTTAATGTCATACACATGGGCACTTAATTAGTTTTGAGGCAGGAATTTCTTGGAGTTAACTCCGCTGTCCTCTTGAGAGCTGCAGTGTGGTTTAGATCAGTGCTAAATGCCTGTAGGCTAGCAGCAACTGAATCACCCAAGAACTTAAAAAGCAAATTCCCAGGGCCACCCCCCACCAAGGAATTCTGACTTACTAACAGAAGGAGTCCATCCTAGGAATCTACCTTTTGTAAAGTTCTCCAGGTGAGTCTGATCATATTCAGCTTGGGAAATTACAGTTTTAAAGACCATCGAAGTCTCTACAGCTGTATAGGAAGCAACATCTTTGAAGTTAACTTACATAATATGACTTATATATGCTGGGTCACAATATTAATGTCATTTAATTTAGTAATAGTTTACTCCCTAGCACTCTTCTGTGTTTATAGAAAACCTTTTTCTTATAGAAAGAATTAGAATAATAAACATGATGTTGCTTTTTTTCACATCTCAGGTACAGAGTTAATAATGCTACATAATTGCCAGACCGTGATAGTCCTTGGTTGAGCAAGGCCCCTATATTTTATTTTACTGTTATATTGACTTTTACTCTGGTGTTGTGTTGTGTTGTGTTTTGATGCATTATTCCCACTCTTCCTCAGTCCACACACCTCTTTACCTTCCCCATAGCATTCACGCTAATGTGTTAATACATGCTTTTAAATATGTATATATATTCGTAAAATGTCATGTTGTTGGTATGTGTGTACATTTTACAATTTATCTAAATGATGTGCTGAACTTTTCATTCTGTCTCTTCACTGAGCACTTTTTTGAGATATGCCTATATGGCTTTATGCACATCAAGTTCATTGCTTCTAAATGCTATATAGTATGCCAATGATTTCATCTACCACGTATTGGTCATCCATTTTCTCAGATAGGGACACCTAGGTTGCTTCCTGCTCCCCGCTATAACAAATAATGATAGGATGAATATACTTGTGTATATCTCTTTATAGAACACGTAAGAATTTCTTTCCATTATTTACTCAGGAATGCAGTCATGGGGTCATAGAGTGTATACAACCTAATTTTACTACTTTCCAGAATAGCTATTACCAGTTTACACCTCCACCTACATTTCACAAGAGGCTTATCACCCTACATTCTTGACAATACTTGGTATTATACATCTTTTTAACAACTGTCATTCTGATGTGTGTGTGAAATATTACCTCATCATTGTAATATACAATTTTATGATGACTAGTGAGTTTGAACCTCTCTACACAGATTTGTTAGCTATATCCCCTTTACCTTTGTAATATTGCCTATTCCATGAATTTGAAAAATAAACATGCTTCATTAGTTCATTGAATGATACAACAAGCTTCTATTTCACTACTCTAAGAAATTATGGACAGTTAAAAGTTTACTTGTTCTTATTGCTGCTGTTGTTTTAAATACTGGACAACACTTTAAAATATATAATGAGCCCCCATTCACTAATGTTTTACAACCTTATTCAAGAAGACACCATTCACAATGAATCTATTTTGATCATGTGTGTGTTTGCAAAATCCTCTTACAAAGCATGTTTGTCATATTCTAGACTCCTGTTTCCTCAAGGCCAATGATTTGACTCATAGTCTTTCATCATACCTAAAAGAAAGTAAGTAAACTCTGATTTTCTTTTAAGTTATTCACCAAGTTGTTATTACTCCATTAAAACATAAGATCCATCTCGTTAAAATTAAAACTTTTAAAACTACATTTAAAAGCAAAACTTTCCACCTCAAATGGATTTGAAGTGGAGGTTTTTCTTAAAGTCCATCTTGATATTAATTTCTGTTTATTTAAGTTTATTCGTTTTGCTCTGGCTTTGAGAATTTGAGTTTTGGTCTCATTTTTTGGTTTATAATACACTAGAAATATTGGTGAAGGAATCCGGAGAATAATTAGTGTTCTAGTTCCAGGTCTGTCACTAATTTGCTGTTTGACCTGGGACAAGTCACTGAGTACTCTTCTGGGACTTGATTTTGTTATCTGACAGATAAGGGAGTTGGACATGTGATCTTTATTCTAGCTGTAAAATTCTGAAATTCTGTTCATATGCTCAGAACTCAGACCATGGCTATTGCACAGTCTAATTTCATCTTTTCAATATTTATTGTGTGTAGCCAAAAGCCAGATTATTCATATTAGATAGTCATCTATTTGTGGCTGACAATGAAATAGTTTAGATATAGAGATTTAGCATTCTTTTTTCAAACTCAAATCAGTTCTGATGGCATTCAACTTGAGTTCATAAACCTTTCTCCACCTCAAATTCAGCAAGTATAAATGTAGGTTATAATAGAATCAATCTCACTGGATTATGAGAACTAAACAGTGTCTGTGTTTAATAAATACTTGCTATTATTTTAATGTCATTTCCATTTTTTATCTTATGTTGAGTGTTTCTTTAAAATTTAACATTATTGAATCAGAGTTCTTTTCCTATTTAGTCTTTGCCAACAAGCATCAAACGTAAATTATCAAAAATGTATTATTCTGAACACTTTTTTTACTTGGTCCTAAAACTAGTCACATTTAGCTACTTGGCATATTATGTGTTTTATGTTATAAGTTAATGATATTTCATTTTAATCTAATATCTTATATAACCAGAGAATAGAATCTGGACAATACCCATTATATTTTACTTTAATTAAATACTAACAAAGAGTAATTGGAGAATACTCAACTTTAGGGACCTAAAATAAATAGGAGCCCTATTTTGCTATATTTAGAGTAATATTTTTCTTATGGTATTTTTTCAGTCTGCCCTAAGTGGGTAAAACTTCGGAAGAACCATAATGAGAAGAAATCGGTCCTAATGCTGATCATCTGTAGCTCTGCTATCCGGGCCTTAGAGCTCATTAGGTTGGACACTTCACCTATTTGTTTCATAAATGTTTTCTGAGTAACTGATATGTGTCAAGTTGATATGCTGTATATGCTGGAGATGTAACAATGAACAAAACAGACAGAATCCCTTTTGTCATGGAACTTACTATCTAGTGAGGGAGACAGACAATGAACAAATAAATATATATTATAATGTCAGGTAGTGTTAAATTATATAAGAAGAAATAAAGCATGGCAAAGTGATAGAGTGGGTTGGGGGGCTACTTTTAAAAGGATTGTCACGGTAAGTTTTTCTAAGGAGAATGACATTTGAGCAGAGACATGAACAAAGTGAAGGAGAATGCCAAGCAGATATCTAGAAGAAGAGCATTATTCCAGACAGAGTGGACAATAAGCATAAAAGACCCTGAGATGCAATGCTATTGGAAGATTTTGAGCAGAGGCGTCACATGATCTGAATAATCTTTCTTTTTTTTTTTTTTTTAAGATTTTATTTATTTATTTGAGAGAGAGAGAATGAGAGAGAGCACATGAGAGGGGGGAGGGCCAGAGGGAGAAGCAGACTCCCTGCCGAGCAGGGAGCCCGATGCGGGACTCGATCCAGGGACTCCAGGATCATGACCTGAGCCAAAGGCAGTCGCTTAACCAACTGAGCCACCCAGGCGCCCGATCTGAATAATCTTTCTAAAGGATCACCTTGGCTTCTGTGCAGAGAACACACGTTATACAGGGCAAGAGTAAAAGCAAGGAAATAATAAGCAATAACCAGTTAGAAAAAATAATAAAAGAAAAGATCTAATTTAAAATAATAACAAGAAAAAAATAGAAGACCAAGTAATAAACCTACCAAAATCTGTATAAAGAAAATATTACATAAGCAGCTCAGATCTTTTTTTTTAAGAGGGGATGGGGGCAGGGAGGGGCAGAGGGAGAGGAGAGAGAGTATCTTAAGCAGACTCCATGCCCAGCACAGAGCCTGATTTGGGGCTCCATCTCACAACCCTGAGATCATGACCTGAGCCAAAATCAAGAGTTGGACACTTAACCCACTGAGCCGCCCAGGTGCCCCACAACTCAGAAGATCTTGAACAAAAGGGCATACGATATTGCTGAATAGGAAGAATCAATGTAGGGATCCCTGGGCGGCTCAGTCAGTTAAGTATCTGCCTTTGGCTCAGGTCATGATTCCAGGGTCCTGGGATGGAGTCCTGCATTGGGCTGCCTGCTCAGCTTCTGCTTCTCTCTCTCCCTCTGCTGCTGCCCCTGCTTATACTTGCTCGTTCTCTCTGTGTGTGAAATAAGAAATAAAATCTTCAAAAAAAAAAGTCAATGTTGTAAAGATGTCTGTTTTACCTAGAATAACATAAATTTCACAGATTCCCAACAAAACTCCAATAGAATTGGTTTTCTATCTCGATAAGCTAAAGTTCAAAGTTTAAAGATAAGCCATAGTTCTAAGTTCGTAAGAGAAAATACAGAAGATAAAAATACCTGGGGAAATTCTGAAAAAGAATATTAGTGAGAGGATACTATGCCTATAGTATCTATCAGATTACCAATAGATATATGTTACCAAGTCTCACTAATTAAAACAGGATGGAACTGGCATATGCATGACAGATCAGACCAGTGGAACAGAATTGGAAGTTCAGAAATAGGCCCATATGCATATGAAAACGTAGCATATGGCAAAGGTAACAAAGCAGTAGGGAAAGATGGATTATTTAATAAATGGTGTTGGAACAACTGGGTAACCATCTGGAAAAGTAAGTTGGAGCCCTATCTCACTTCTCATACCAAGGTAAATTCCAAATGGGCTGAAAATTTAAATATAAAAATTATGTTTTAAAGATAATTTGTCAGTGCTTTACTAAGTGCTTTCACATACCTTTTCATTTACTGTAGTATAGTAGAAGAAACAAAAAGTCTTCCACTGGATCAGTGGTAACATTGAGCTTTCAGAGAAGAGCCGTCAGAGTAAATTGGGATTTACTGGAACTAGCCCTCTTCCAGGGCCAGGCTCTGCACCAGGGTTTGACAAGAGACAAAACAAAGGAAAATCCAAGTCCTGGAGAAAATAAATTAAGGTGCACATGTAGACTCTCAGTAATTATTTAGCATCTATTTTTCTAAATGAACTAATCTGATTACAAACTTAGAAAGGTAGTTTTTAAGTTCTTCAAACTCTCCTTTCGCCGCCAAGGCACACACATAATATTATATCACACCAGCTCTCAGTAAAACAAAAGTGTTTCTTGCAACTATTTCTGCTCCGAACACAATTGATCTTCAAGACTCCAACTGTTTCTGGGCAGCTGTACTTGCTGGTTCTGAAATCATAGTAGTTCACATTGACTTTTCAGTGTTTTAGAAACTACCACCACAGAACTCATTTCGGATCCAAACATTAATGGCAAAGAGGTTGGCCTGGAGATGGCCTCTTAAAAACAAGCTGTCACATTGATTTGAGCTTTTACTGTACATAAATAACTTTCTGAAGGGCATAAAAGCACTGTGTTGTCACACTTCATTTACCAATTCCGTGTTCTTCTGTGTCTTTGGTATTATGATCCACTTCAAGGTTAGGTGATTTGCAAAAAAGGATTTCTGAGGTAGCACAACAAGCCCTGTTCATAAAGACTAATAGTGAATAATTCTAACTTTTATAAGGATATCTGTTCTTTTGAGGACCATGAATTAATGTTAAATATGTCCCCTAAACTGTCTTCCTAGTTAACCTTGCCATGGAGAAAGCTTATGTATGAGTAAAAGTCAAATACAACAGAACTTAGATAGTATAATTTACTATCTTGCAAATTCATATATTCCTACTGGCAATAATATTTCCAAGCATATTCCCATGTTTTATTTCCAAACATCAATTAAAGGATTGATTGTTCTTTTATGTCTATTGATACCGGGAACATTTCCACATATAAAATTTTGCAGAAAAGCTCACTCTGCAAAGTAGATAAAAGTGGGGCATTGCTCTGATTGAAGGACATAAGCCTTTCTTCTCCTCCCTGTCAGCTCATTCCCAGCAACCCACCATGGCAATAACATACAAACTTGTAGATGCGTTTGGGCTCCACAGAGCACAGGCTGACATCACTGCTCCAAGGTATTTCTTACAACCAAATTTTGTATGAGAACTATACTGCAGAGTTTAAAGATGAATTCTCTGCCAGGGACCTGTAATACAGAAATTCTGTATTACAAATGAAGGGCAGATCCATTATGTTTCAGTTATCAAGGAAACCTAAGTAAAGTTAACCTTGTGTATGAAAAGTAGAAGCCAATCCAGATACCTGCCTGAATAAAAGGCTTCCTCACTTTCCTTCCAGAGATGGGCTGACCCGTAAATCTGTTTTTTGTATCTGTGCATATGCTCATAGTTACACATATAAACACATATATTCTCTTTAAAGCAAGATATACTTAAGTTGTCAATGTGGCCTGCAATGAATAAGTTTTCTTAAGCATTCATCTTTTTTTATTAATCTTTTTTTTTTCATTAGGTCAATGACAGCATTCAGAGGAGACAGCAAAGTTATGAAATTATTTGCAAAACACATAAAGGTAAGCAAGGGCCTGTGGTTGCTGATGGATGTTGTAAGTTATCCTTAAGGGCCACTCCTAGCTTTTTCTTATCTCCTTAGCAGGTGTTTTCTTTGGTGCCTCCTTATATATCATATTTAACAACTGTTCTGGTGTTCTTTACATTCCCTGCCTTTGCATGACCTGCCCCAACAACAGTCGCTACTCTGTGCTCCAAGATTCCTGCACAGAAGCTGAGGTTTGGTCCCTCGTTTCTTTGAAGATTTACCAATTTTACAGAATGATGCTTTTCTATCTTGATGTTAATTAACCTTCTTTGCACTGGAAGTTGAGCCTAAACATAGCCGTATTTGCTTTTTACTTTTTAACTTCTAGATGAAGTGACTATGATTGCACTTTCTCATGACTCTTCTTTTCTTTCATCTCCATCTTGAAATAAATAGGTCCAGGAGCAGATAAAGTTGCTGGAGAAGCGTGCTGTGCACCTGGGTGTAGGAACACCAGGGAGAATTAAAGAACTCATTAAACAAGGTATGAAGAGAGGCACTGATATGCCTACTCAGAACTGGGACTTTCCCTTGCCCCCAAGTGAGTTTAGGAAACCACATTTGTGATGTTGTGAAACCAGATTTCTGTGTTAATCTGGGAGTTGGAAACAGTCTTTCGTCAATAAAGCTAGCCAGAAGGTATGTGCAATAGGGAATAGTAAGGATTGTGGCAGACTGTGGTACATGTGCCTGCCTAAACACATTCAAATTCCAGTTGCTTTAAGCAGGTTAGTGGATCCACAATTCATTTCACCAATCTGCAACCTCTAGAATTTGTAGAGCTGGATGAGTTGAGTATTTCCCTCTTAATTAATTGGATCTTGGTTCCCCAAGACTGCCATTTCAGTTGAGGACTTTTGTATAAAACATGTTGAAACAAAAATGCAGTTTCTATGGATGAAATGGTATTTCATATGGTATTCTAGAATATTTCTCCCAAATGCATTTCTCTTTTAGTACCTTACCCAGAAAGTATTCCAGACAGCGTCCAACAGTGGGTTTTTATAATTTGTTGGCTCTCTCAAAGTCAGTAGCCTAAAACCTATTAATCTGCTGATGATATTGTTACCTGTTTTACCTGCCAGACGGATTAAAGATTTCTTTTCAATACACATTTCCAAATTACTTATTTAATATACTTATAGAACTTTGTTTTATAACTGGAGCTATTCCTGGATTTTTTTATATATCTAAAAGAAATGGGTTCATTAATGTAATGACTCAGTATAGAGATGGGCATTTGCCAAGAAGCAAACAAAAGCTTAAAATACTAATGTTTCTTTCCAGATGAAAGCCATCCAGGGTTAAATGAACCCACTATATACAAAGGCTGTGCAATTACAAAGAAGTAACAAACTTAGCAGCCCCGGATAAGGAAAGGAAACATATTTTTTGAGTTCATACTTGCACTGGTCTACACTAAACACTCTTAGGTATCTCATTAAATATTCATGGCACCAGTGCAGGCTAGCATTTTTATTTCTTATAAGAAAACACTCTGAAGCTCTGAAGGGTTAAGTGGCTCTCCCACAGTCTCTCAGTTTAGGCCTTCCTAGTTCCAGAGCTTTTCCCCCTCAAAGAGCTCCTGATCCTTGAAGAAATAAATATACCCAGAAGGAGATTGACAACATAAGGCAGTAAATGCCAAGGGCGGAATGAGCACTTCCAAGTCCTATAGGAGTTGAAATACACCCTTACGGAGGCTGAATCTGAATGGAAGGCTTTAGAAAGAAAAGGGTCTTTAACTGATCTTTGAAGTATGAGAAGGGTTAAAATAGGATCTTTGAAGTACGGAGATGTGAGAAAAGCAATCAGGAATGGGAGAACCACTGCATCAGAAGAGGGCAGGAGATACACATGATTGAGATACAGTGTTGAGTTTACAAGCCCCTATTATGGATTCAGTCTAGAGTCAAATCCCAGGTCCAGCACCTGACCAGCTCTGTGACCTTGGCAAGTTACTTAACCTCTCTAAATCTGTTTCTGTATTCAAATGACAGGGATAGTGGTAGTATCTTCCTCAAAGGATTGGTATGATAATAAAATGCCAATAAAGAGTTTGGCACAATGAGTTTCACACCCCAAGAAATCAAATGCTAGTTTTTATTTTTATTAAAGAGACCAACTTTCTTGGTTGGAAACTTCATGGGCTTTAGTAGTTAGTGATTCAGTCGGAAAGAAAGAGTGTGGAGGCAGGATTTTGAACATTAAGCTGAAGAGTTTGGATTTTTGCCTTATGGACATGGGAGGGCATTGAAGTGAAGGAACAGATGAGAGGTGCTCATAGCATATCTGTGAGACACAGAGTTGGGAGAGATTGGCTGGGCAGCAGGAGAGCCCAGGGGTGAACCCTGCCTCTCCCACAGCTCTTAGCCAGAGATTCACCTCACCCCTCCCTAGATTCCAGAGGGTTCTTCGTGTATCACCAGGCGCCCCATGCAATAGGGTCACAGTTCTCCATATTTAAAAGAGAAAAAGCAAAGCTCTACAAATTGTTGAAATTTTATTTCCATAGAGTTGTGAGGTCTCAGTATGAAAGCTTATTTAAGAAGTGGAAAAATCATTTAAGGAGCTGTTGATTTTTTATAATACATGAAAATAACATACTTCTGATTCTGATTTGATGAAAGATTTAATGTTCACTAACCACAGGTGTTAAGCAATATACAAAGCATTTAAAGAGTATAATTCCAGGGGTGCCTGGGTGGCTTAGTTGGTTGAGCATCTGCCTTTGGCTCAGGTCATGATCTCAGGGTCCTGGGATTGAGCCCTGCATCAGGCTCCCTGCTCAGCAGGGAGTCAGCTTCCCCCTCTCCCTCTGCCACTACCCCCCCCCCACTCATACTCTGTCTTTCTCTCTCTCAAATAAATTTTAAAAATCTTAAAAAAAAAAAAAAAGGGGAGAACAATTCCAGCACTCTAGAAACTGAAAATCTAACAAAGCAAAACAAATGGCACATAACTCATTTTATGTAGCTGTTTATGACTTAAGATGTTTATATATATGATATATTAAGGAAAGTTTCCAAACTTACAAAGATATCCCATGACAGTGGGATCTGTACAATTATAGACTGAATTATATTGTTTTAATCTTAATTTAATAATGAAGGAGATTTTCTAACAGTGAGAGCCTTTCAACAGTGCAAAAGTATAGAAAAGAAAATAAATCACTTTAGAGATAATCACTTGTTAGTTAATACTGAATATATTTTCTTTAGTCTTTTTTTCTATGCATTTATATATTTATTTTTGTAAGTGGAGATCAAACTGTATATCATAATTTTATAACTTGTCTTTTCCATTTAATATACCTTTTTTTAAAAAGATTTTATTTATTTATTTGACAGGGAGAGCAAGAGCACAGGTAAGGGGAGCGGCAGAAGGAGAGGGAGAAGCAGGCTCCCCGCAGAGCAGGGAGCTTGACGTGGGGCTTGATCCTAGGACCCTGAGATCATGACCCGAGCCAAAGGCAGATGCTTAACTGACTCAGCCACCCAGGCACCCCTCCACTTAAAATATCTTATGAGGACTTTCTTGGTCATGAAATAGTTTTAATTTTTCATTTTTAATGGCTATATAATATTCTACATAATATTCTACTGTTTTTTATAGTTTTATTGAGACATAATTGACATATAACATTGTATTAGTCCAATGTGTACAGTATAATGACTCTATACATATATAGTGAAATGATGACCACAATAAGTTTATTTAACATCAGTCACCTCAGATAGTTATAAATTTTTTTCTTGTGATGAGAACTCTTAAGATCTACTCTCTTAGCATCTTTCAAATGTACAGTATTAACTACAATCACTGTGCTGCACATTACATCCCCAGAACTTAATTACCTTACAACTGGAAGTTTTTACCTTTTAACCAGCTTCACCCATTTTCCCCAACCCCCCACCTTTGACAACCACCAATATGTTCTATGTATCTATGAGTTAGGTTTTTTAGATTCTACATATAAGTGAGATCATACAGTATTTGTCCTTCTCTGTCTGACTTATTTCATAATGCCAAGAGTCATCCTTATTATCACAAATGACAAGATTTCCTTCCCTTTTACAGCTGAATAATATTCCTCTGTGTGTGTGTGTGTGTGACATTTTCTTTCTTCATTCATTTGTTGATGGACACTGAGGGTTGTTTCCATGTCTTGGCTATTATAAATTATGCTGCAATAACATAGGGGTGCATATATCTTTTTGAGATAGTGAGTTTGTTTTCTTTTGGGTATATACCCAGAAGTGGAATTGCTGGATCATATGGTAATTCTATTTTCAATTTCTTGAGAGTTCTTCCATACTGTTTTCCACAGTGGCTGCACCAATTTACATTCCCACCAACAGTGCACAACAGGTCCCTTTTCTCCACATCCCTTCAGCACTTACTACTTCTTGTGGGGTTTTTTGGTAATAGCCATTCTAACAGGTGTGAGGTAATATTTCATTGTGGTTTTAAGTTGCATTTCCCTGATGATTAGTGATGCTGAGCACCTTTTCATGTACCTGTTGGCCATTTGGATGTCTTCATTGGCAAAGTATCTATTCATTTCCTCTATTTTTAAATCAGATTGTTTGGTGTTTTTTGCCACTGATTTGCAGAATTTTTTTATATATTTTGGATATTTATCCCAAGTTATATATATATATATATTTAGCAATACAATTATGATAGGATACCTGGGTTATTTCTAATTTTTTGCTATTATAAATAGCAATGATCATCTTTGCAAGTAACTATATTTAAGTTTCTTTCTTTTTTTTTAAGATTTTGTTTTTAAGTAATCTCTACACCTAATGTGGGGCTTGATCTTACAACCCCAAGATCAAGAGTCACATACTCTACCGACTGAGCTAGCCTGGCACCCCATTAACTATATTTAAGTTTCTGATGCATTTATTGGGATTTGTCATAGAAAGAAAATTATTTTATCAAATAGTAGGTATTTTAAGGCTCCTATTATATAATGCTCAAGTGCCTTCCTGTGAGGATGTACCTGTTTGCTCTCCCACTAATAGTAAGTTATTTTGAAGGGAAGACTGCCAACCCATTTTCCTTCTCAATTTATCGTTTTTACTTTTGCAGAGAGAATTTTATTTTTTTTATTTATTTTTATTTTTGTAAATTTTTTTTTTATTATTTATTCATTTGAGACAGAGAGATACAGAGCAAGAGAGAGAGAGCAGGAGCAGTGGGGATAGGCAGAGGAAGAGGGAGAAGCAGACTCCCCACTGAACAGGGAGCCCGATGCGGGGCCCGATCCCAGGAGCTGAAGATCATGACCGGAGCCAAAGACAGATGCTCAACCATCTGAGCCACCCAGGTGCTCTGAGAGAATTTTATTTTTTAAGATTTTATTTATTTATTTGAGAGAGAGCATGAGAGTACAGTGAGGTGCCGAGGAAGAAGCAGACTCCCCACTGAGCAGGGAGCCCTATGTGGGGCTTGATCCCAGACTCAGTCCCCACTGAGCACCCCACAGAGAGAATTTTATTTTTTTATTTTTTTAATTTTATTTTATTATGTTATGTTAGTCACCATACATCATTAGTTTTTGATGTAGTGATCCACGCTTCATTGTTTTCGTGTAACACCCAGTGTTCCATACAGTACGTGCCCTCCTTAATACCCATCACCAGGCTAACCCATTCCCCCAGCCCCCTCCCCTCTAACACCCTCAGTTTGTTTCTCAGAGTCCATAGTCTCTCATGGTTCATCTCTCCCTCCGATTCCCGCCCCCTCATTTTTCCCTTCCTTCTCCTAATGTCCTCCATGCTATTCCTTATGTTCCACAAATAAGTGAAACCATATGATAATTGATTTTCTCTGCTTGACTTATTTCACTTAGCATAATCTCCTCCAGTCCCATCCATGTTGATGTAAAAGTTGGGTATTCATCCTTTCTGATGGCTGAGTAATAGTCCATTGTATATATGGACCACATCTTCTTTATCCATTCATCTGTTGAATGGATCTCGGCTCTTTCCACAGTTAGGCTATTGCGGACATTGCTGCTATGAACATTGGGGTGCATATGGCCCTTCTTTTCACTACATCTGTGTCTTTGGGGTAAATACCCAGTAGTGCAATTGCTGGGTCATAGGGTAGCTCTATTTTTAATTTTTTAGGAACTTCCACACTGTTTTCCAAAGTAGCTGTACCAACTTGCATTACCACCAACAGTGTAAGAGGGTTCCCCTTTCCACAACCTCTCTAACATTTGTTGTTTCTCACCTTGTCAATTGTTGCCATTCTAACTGGTCTAAGGTGGTATCTCAATGTGGTTTTGATTTGAATTTCTCTGATGGCTAATGATGATGAACATTTTTTCATGTGTCTGTTAGCCATTGTTTGTCTTCTTTGGAGAAGTGTCTGTTCATGTCTTCTGCCCATTTTTTGACTTGATTATTTGTTTTTTGGGTGTTGAGTTTGAGAAGTTCTTTGTAGATCTTGGATAACAGCCCTTTATCTATAGTGTCATTTGCAAATATCTTCTCCCATTCTGTGGGTTGCCTCTTTGTTTTGTTGACTGTTTTCTTTGTTGTGCAGAAGCTTTTTATCTTGATGAAGTCCCAAAAGTTCATTTTCACTTTTGTTTCACTAGCCTTTGGAGATGAATCTTGAAAGAAGTTGCTGTGGCCAATGTCAAAGAGGTTACTGCCTAGGATTTTGATGGATTCCTGTCTCACATTGAGGTCTTTCATCCATTTCGAGTTTATCTTTGTGTATGGTGTTAGAGAATGGTTGAGTTTCATTCTTCTGTATATAGCTGTCTAATTTTACCAGCACCATTTATTGAAGAGACTGTCTTTTCTATTGCATATTTTTTCCTGCTTTGTCGAAGATTATTTGACCATAGAGTTGAGGGTCCATATCTGGGCTCTCTATTCTGTTCCATTGGTCTATATGTCTGTTTTTGTGCCAGTACCATGCTGTCTTGGTGATCACTGCTTTGTAATATAGCTTGAAGTCAGGCGACGTGATGTCCCCAGCTTTGTTTTTCTTTTTCAACATTTCCTTGGCCATTAGGGGTCTTTTCTGATTCCATACAAATTTTAGGATTGTTTGTTCCAGCACTTTGAAAAATGTCATTGGAATTTTGATCAGGATGGCATTGAAGGTATAGATTGCTCTGGGTAGCATAGACATTTTAACAATGTTTGTTCTTTCCAATCCAATATTTATTCTTCCAGTGTTTTTCTATCTTTTTGTGTCTTCTTCAATTTCTTTCATGAGTGTTCTGTAGTTCCTAGAGTATAGATCCTTTACCTCTTTGGTTAGGTTTATTCTGAGGTATCTTACGGTTTTTGGTGCTATTGTAAATGGAATCGTTTCTCTAATTTGTCTTTCTACAGTTGCATTGTTAGTGTATAAGAAAGCAACTGATTTCTGTGCATTGATTTTGTATCCTGCCACATTACTGAATTGCTGTATGAGTTCTAGTAATTTCGGGGTGGAGTCTTTTGGATTTTCCACATAAAGTATCATGTCATCTGCAAAGAGAGGAGTTTGACTTCTTCTTTGCCAATTTGAATACCTTTTATTTCTTTTTGTTGTCTGATTGCTGTTGCTAAGACTTCTAGTGCTATGTTGAACAATAGTGGCGAGAGTGGGCATCCTTGTCGTGGTCCTGATCTTAAGGGAAAGGCTCTCAGCTTTTCCCCATTGAGGATGATATTTGCTGTGGGCTTTTCATAGATGGATTTTATGAACTTGAGGAATGTTCCCTCTATCCCTATACTCTGAAGAGTTTTAATCAGGAAAGGATGCTGTATTTTGTCAAATGCTTTTTACACAGAATTTTAAATAAGAGGCATTACAGGGGCCCCTGGGTGACTCAGTTGGTTAAGTGTCTGACTTTTGATTTCGGCTCAGGTCATGATCTCAGGGTCGTGGGATTGAGCCCTGCGTCAGGGCGTACTCAGTGCAGAGTCTGCTTGAGAGTCTCTCTCTGCCTGTGCCCCTCCCCATCACTCAAGTGCATTCGGGTGCTCGCTCGCTCTCTCTCAAATAAGTAAATAAATAAAATCATTAAATAAATAAGAGGCATTATAATTATAAGAAGAATGAAAAGTCTTTTGGGCCGAAGGGGAAATACTGAAATAATCACAGAGATGAGGGGAAGTGCTGCAGAGTAAAGGAAGGCTTCAGTTATGTTTCCACATGTAACGTGAAACAGCCTGGGGCAATGGAAAGAACTGGGGAGTGGGAAGAACTAACTGTGCCCAATTCTGAGACTTCTGAGGAACAGACAATCCCTGAGGTCCCCTCCAGCCCCACATTCCATAATTGTCTAGATACATAGGAAGACAGTGGAAATGGAATCCTTAAGTCGTTTACTAGTCTTCTCAAATGATAACAGACTTTGAATAGAGCCTATTCATATTTACTTCCTTTTCTGTCTAATCCCCAAAGCCCAGCCTCATCCTTCTGTCCATTCACCTCCTCATAGTCACTCACACTCCATTGGACTCAAGTCCTCTGAAAGGCCACTACCCAGACTGCAGGATCCATCTTATCAAATTCCTGTCAGGAATGAGACTTCACGCTCTGGGGCTTCATGAAATGGAGGTTTGGGATTGTTTCTTTGCCAGCAGTTGACAAGCTGAGCAGCTTCTCTGCTTCCCTCAGAATCAGTGATAAGATTATAAGGAAAGCAATCTCAGAGTGCTGCATTTGTTTTCCATCAAGCAAGGGCTGGCTGCATTCAGTGTGTAGAGATTAGTTGCTGGGGCAGAGGACAGCAAATGAGGCAAAAAGCAACGAGGAGACTAAAAAGTCATTTGAGTAAGCTTATGTCATGAGGTCTGCTGTAGCAACTCTCTCTGTGTTTCTTTCAGGTGGCCTTAATTTGAACCCCTTAAAGTTCCTGGTTTTTGACTGGAACTGGAGAGATCAGAAGTTGAGAAGGATGATGGACATTCCCGAGGTACCATGTAACCAGCAATTGCCTTTAACCTTTTTTTCTTCAACTTGAACTTGAGTTCAAATACAGTAATAAAGTCTTTCATGTGGGGAGCCAGCACATTCTGGCCATTGAAATGATTTCTATCTTTTAACTCTGAAGTAACTGCAATTATAGAGTCCATCTCACTCCCTTAGACCTAACTGTATCCTTTCCATGTGTCTTATAGTAATCAGCTTTGTTTCTTCCTTATATGACCAATGACCTCTGCCCCACTGGGGACCACTATATCTATACTGAACCTTTGAGAAACAGGAGGATCTGGAGGACTTGGCACATTTTTCTGTGCCTTGCTTTTAGAGACATATTCGTCTTTGTCTTTCATCCTTACAAATGTTTGAGGAAGTAGGGGCACAAACTTGCCTCATGGCCTGCATCTCCCATACCCAAAACCTCACTTAATATAGAGGGCTATTTTGTTTTTGTTTTTGTGGGGAAATTATTTTGATATCTCCGTGGATTAAAACTGATTGATTGCCTTTGTGGCCACAGCATTAGCTCATTCTGTATTTATGAAAGTAATCCATTATCATCAAAATGTGAAAAAATTGATTTGCCACCTACTGTGTATCATGGGGCTAATTTTTCAATCTAGCCCGATGTTTAGAAGTATCTGTTGGAGAGAAGAAGTTTTGTCCAATAATAAAAATGGCTGCCAGTCACCAACCTAATTAATCATGGCAGTAAATATCAAAGAGATTTGGAATTAATCCTCCAAACATGCTGAATAAATTAATTTACCACGTAAAGCTATATCCCCGGAATGACCAACCTGATTATGATTGATCAGTGAGCTAAATCAGACATCAGTACAGGTAAAAAGACAATTTTTTCAGTTTCCTACACACACACACACACACCCCCCTGTGCCCTGAATTGACTGGTTTTTTAAAACCAGTTCAACAAATTTGATGTTAGGCACATAAGTCCATATTTATTTCAGGTACAGTGTGAAATCTGAGTAATCCACTGTAAGTTTTTTAATTATAATGATAAGGAGAAATTGTGTCAAAGAAAAAACCTTGTCACCCAGTTATTTGTATTATGTTGATGTCATCATTATCAGCTATCCTATATTGAAATATGTGTGCAATATAGCCATACTTTAGGTATTTTGAAACACCCTTGTATAAGATTTTTTTATGATATTTTAGTTGGAATGGTTACAAAGGGCACTTTAATGAAATGGATGTTTTATTTAGTACCTATCCCTTTACTTAAGTAAATATTTCAATTCTGAATAAAACATAGGTTAGGATTTTTGCCCTCCCTGATTCTGGCCATAACAGCTACACAAATACCAAGAAGTCCAGATGGTTGAATTTATTCACCAAGACCATCTTTTCTTGATCTTAACCTTTTTTTTTTTTTTTTTCTCATTTAGATAAGAAAGGAAGTTTTTGAACTTCTGGAAATGGGAGTCCTCAGTCTATGCAAGTCTGAATCTTTGAAGCTGGGCCTTTTCTAAGTCTGGGTCCTAATGAAAATTCCAGTTTTTATGGTGGGATTTGCATCTCATTTAATGGCTCTGGAATACTGCAAGGACTCAGTAAATATCAGCTGTTGTTTTATTATGTTAACTGCATCACCAGATGAATCACTAGAAATTTTTGGTGGAGATTCTTTGACAAAAATGAAGCTGTCCTTTGCCAACTTCTTTGTATAATAAAGTATCACCAGCTTGTATATGATTTTTGTTGAGCAGACTGAATTTTTCTTTCACCAACTGGTCTCTGATGTGACTTTGCAGAAGGAAAAGAGCATCTGGGCAACCTTAGCCAGGCCACTTCCCTCTCTGAGCCTTAGTTTCATCAGCCACAAGATGAGAATGATATCTCCTAGGATTGTTGAGGCTTCCATGTGATGGTACTCGTGGAACAGACTCCTAAACTGAAGCCTGGTCCCAGTGTGAAGGGTGCAGTGGTAGTGATAGAAAGAGTTGCAGGTGTACGTGGCACTTTGCAAATATATGAAAGATAACAATATCTACAACTATCTTAATTATTTTGTACCTTTTTATTTTAAAAGAATATCAGATTTACAGAAAATGTCTGGTAATACCTGGGGAAGCTATCTACACAGCATTAGAGAGAAATGAAAGCAAGGGCTTGAAAAATTACTCTCTGAAATTTCTCATGATACCACAATATAACAACTGCTAGCAAATTGTCATATCCATATCAATCTAGAACTGTGGATCTTCAACCAGGGACAATTTTGCCCCCCAGGGTCCATTTGCTGTGTCTGGAGATATGTTTGGTTGTCGCATGGGGATTATACTACCAGCATCTAGTGGGGAGTTGTGACTGGCAGTTATTTAGTAGGTAGTATCCTTTAGTCAAGGATGCTGCTCAACGTTCTACCATCCTACAGGCCAGCCCCCACAATAAAAAAGTATCTGGCCCAAAATACTAATCAGTAGTACTGAGGGTAAGGAAACCCAATTCTAGAAACTTGAAAAGCAGAGTATATGAAGTATATCTGTATGCTTGAAGTAGGTTTATTTAGAAGAGAAATATGTAAATATAAAAATGTAAAGTGAGATCTGGCTATCTCAGGAATGTTGCCCCAGAAATGTGTTCCCTTAATACCTGTGATGGTTAATTTTATGTGTCAAGTTGACCGGGCCAGAGGTTGCCCTGATAGTTGAGCAAATATTATTCTGAGTGTTTCTGTGAGGGTGTTTTTGGATGAGGTTAACATTTAAAAGGGTGGACTTTAAAGCAGATTGTCCTCCCTCATTTGGGTGGGCCTCATCCTGTCAGTTGAAAGCCTAAATAGAACAAAAGGTTGACACTGCCCACCCCCACACACCCTCCACAAACCACTCCCCTCCCCCGCCCCCCACCCCCGTCCCTCAAATAAGAGAGAATTCTGATTCCAACTGAAACATTGACTCTTGCTGTCTGATAGCCTTCAATCTAGGACCTCAGCTCTTGTGATTTTACAGCACCTTTTGGCCTTTAGACTCAAACCGAGACATCAGCTCTGCAGATTTTGGACTTGCCAGCCTCCTCCATAACCACGTAAGCCAATTCCTTCTAATAAAATCTCTTTACATACATCCAATTAATTTTGTTTCTCTGGAGAGCCCTGACTAATATACTAAATGAAAGTTCCTTCTACTTTGAGATTTTGGTTAGTTTGGTTTTGTTGTTTTATAAAAAGCCTAAGAAATTCTGTTCTTACAGATTTGTTACTATAATGACCCTTTTGCTAGGTGTTATCTATGTAGTATAATCCCACCCAATGTTGGACCAAGTTCCCAGGTGGCAAACATACCTGATTGTTTTGTAGGCCAACCATGCACATGTAATATAATCTTGTAGGCTGTTGCCGCATTTTCAACCCAAGTTTTCAACCATGTTTATTGAGTAAAACAAATAGTCTACGTGAATTAGAAGTGTTCACCACCATCTACTCACACAAGGCTGATACCAGCAGCCATACTCGTCACCGTCTCCAAGCCAGATTCAAGTGATGTGCTGAAAATTTCCCCCTGGTATTTGCTTTTCCCAGCTTTGCAAGTGGGAAGCTTTGACTCTGAATTGGATACCGTCTAGTGTAAGTATTGGCATTTATTTTGTATGCTTTTAAACTAGGTACACCTGCCAAAGTCGTTGCCTTCTTTAATATAAAAATAGTCCGGGGCACCTGGGTGGCTCAGTCAGGTAAGCATCTGACTCTTGATTTTGGCCAGGTCATGATCTCAGGGTTATGATATCGAGCCCTGCATCGGGCTCCACGCTGGGTGTGGAACCTGCTTAAGATTCTCTCTCTCCCTCTCTTTCTGCCCCCCCTTAAAAAAACAAAATGAAATAAAAATAAAAATAGTCCAGCATGGCTTCTCTGCCTAATGTTAATAAAAAAGGAAGATTAGAAACTTGCCTATTTTTTTAAAATTCTAATTCTATATCTTAAATACATTTTAAAGAAAGGGAAGTAATTATTAACAGCCTAATGAAATGTTAGGGGATTTCCGATAAATGAGAGAAACCCCAAGCCAAACTAATAATACCATATTGCAATATTGAACATTTAATTGATTATCTATCTTGCCCTTCCTTTCTCTCGCCTCATTTGAGCTACTCCAAAGCACTTGCTTGGAAAAAATTTAGGAGGAGATGTTTTTAATGTACATTTTCTACTAGAGTCTTTCTTATGGATGAAAAAACTGGCAGCTGCTGAGATTAGACATCTGTGTTCCACAATCCCTGTTTGCTTCCCTCTTCCTCATTATCACAAGTAGCAAAGTTAGCTGTAATCTGAGAGCATTTTTCCAATTTAGTTTATATTTATGTTAGAAGCAGCCATGTTTGGAAAAAAGCTGATAGCCCTAACTTTTATTTTTTGTATTAATCTCCAAGGTATTAGGCAAGTTCTCAAAGATAAATCCATTTTCCCCCTTTCAGGAAGGGCTTGCCTTGAATTAGTCACCACATCCCAGAAATAGCCCATGATAACTGCTTCCCAATGTGGCCAGATGCCGGTCTGTGCAGACTCTGCTGGGGACTATTCCTCCTGGGCATGGCATTTAGCACACATTTTTTGAGCCTGAAGTGAACTATACCAGTGGCTGACTGAAGACAGCTGTGTTCCTGCTGAATCTCAGGCTCAGTTAAGGAACAATTCTGGGAAGTAGACTGCAACTACAAAGGAAAGGTCACCTAATTCTTAATTTAGCACCACCATTATGCAGTGTTACCAGGAGCAATAATGTTATACATGCCTTGTAAGTGTATCTCAGTCACCGCAGGACCAGAATGAAGAGGACGTCCAAGGACGGCCGGTGCAAATTGCCGGACAACACTGCCTTGAAGCAGCAGCAATTGCCTGCCTACCGGCTGCAGCTCTCAGCCACTGGAGTCCTCTCCGGCTTTTTTGCCACAGGAGTGTTCTGCCTTGGTGTGGGCATCATCCTTATATTGAATGCAAAGAGTACCAAGGAAATAGAGGTTTGTCCCATCTTACATTTTTAATGCAGATTCTAAGAGTTTTCAGCTTTGGGACCATAAGTGAGGGGCCAGTTTGAGAACACATCCCCTCAACAGATGAGACTAGAACATCCGTTTTTCAGTCAACCGGTGCAGATGGTGGTAGCCTCTGTATGTTGGCTTTATTCATCCCTGCTCCCTCTTGAGGACAATCACTCTCACACTGGTCCGCTCAGCCATTCATTTCCAGGAACGTGGCAAAGTCAGAAGTTTTTTAAACTGGTGGAGTGCTGACCAAGGATTGATAGAGGTAGGAGAAGGAGAGGCAGGGTCAAATGCCTGCCAGATGCCCATGAATCATATGGATAAGAAAGTAAAGAGACAAAGAGGTCTTCAGTTTTGTCCCACTTTCAAGCATTGTATCTTTCCCTTTGCAAACGAACTCCGAGATCATTACTTTAATGGAGGAAAGGCAAGAACCCGAATCTTTCTGGCCTCTTAAGGACACTTAGCAAAATTAACTAAATTCTACTCAAGACTGAGAAGAGCTGAACCTAAGGGCATACCTTCGCTCCATTACAAGCCTTTGCCAACTTGATTAACAAGCTGTTAGAGGATGAGAACCTTGAGAAGCTGGTCTGGGGAGGGGACATAAGAGTTGGCCTAAGGTTAGATCAGCCTTGCTCGCATTCAGTCTAACAAATTAAGCAAATGTTTAATTCAAATCAGCTCTGAGCAGATTACTGGGCATCCCAGTCTATGACCTCCACTCTGAAGGCAGCCATGGAAAGCTGATCTGTTCCCTCTCCTGACATGGCTAGCAGCAAAGTCATGAAGGCCAGGTCTGTCAATGTTGACTTAACATTCATGAGTGTCTGAAAGTGCTAAGAGTTCTGTTGGCTTTGCAAATGAGTAAGATAAGTAAGAGTTGAGTCCTGCCCTCAGTGAGCTAATGATAGAGTAGGTAAGGTAGTATGTGATAAGAACAGAGAGCTCAGCCATGGTTGCCTTGTTCACCACATCCACAACCCCTTCCTTGCACGTTGCCCAGTACATAGTAGGCACAAACTTAGTGAAAGAATGGATTAGGGCAAATAGTGAGGACTCTAAGTAGGAAAACATCATTTCAGGTCCCACTCCTCCTACCAAACCACACTACTCTCATGCCTTTCCACTTATATTTTCTGCTCCCAGCTCTGAGCAGTTTATCTCCCCAGGAATTGAATGCCCCTAGGTCCTTTTGAGTCCCACAGTGTGAGATGTAAATGACCAGGCCCCACAAATAGCAGATGAAAAATGGCAGGAGAAAATTAAACTTGCCTTATTGAAAAGCATAGCATAAGTGGCTTACAAGGTTGTTTCATTTCCACAAACAGCTCCTATTTACTCTTCTATTTTCTTCTTCACCAACCCCTTTCTTTCTGGTTTTCCCACCCTTCCCATGTCTTCCTTGCTTCTTCCCCTCTGGTTATCCACCCTCACTCACTGTGAAGTGCAGCCTCCATTAAGAGGCAGCCATTGCTAAATGATGTCACCTCATGCATGTGAAGGGAACTTCACTCCATGGTTCACTAAGGCCACTCTGCAAACCGCTTTCAACAGAATGATTTTTATCATGTTAAGGAGATTTTCCAATAGACCTTTTTTCTAGTCACTTAGGATAGATCTATTTCTAACATTTTGCTTGTCTACAAGAAACCCAGAAACCGCTGTGATAGTGAGATTCTCTTTTGCACATGGATGTATTTCATTATATT